CCCGCTGTACATACATACATACACTGTGTAATCCTTTGGACCGTCTGTCTGAAGGTTTTAAATGCTCTTTAGAAAGCTTATGAACAACAGAATAAAGAACCCGTCTATGGTTTGGAGCTGTTCTTGTGCTCTAAAGCAGCGTTATTCATTCAGTGTTACACATCAAATAAAAGCAGTCAGACCAGCAGCCTCACACCTGTTTGGGCTGAGCTCTGGGGCCCACCGGGGGGCCTCTCAGATAGCATTCAGCAATGGGTTTGGGTCTGGCCTCCTCTTCATCCTCTTCTTCACTGTCATCTTCTCCATAAGCCACCTCAGGTCTGGGTCGCAATGATCTGCTGACAGCAGGCGACACTCCACCGTCCTGTGAGCCATCAGCAGAAACACAAAGTTGATTATTGATTATTGATATGTTTCACTGGATTATTTGGTGCCATTGAGCGCAATGAGAGATTGTTTGTGCTCTGATACGGCCATGTTTTATTTCTACACACTACACGTTACATTTGTCCTCTTCAGCACATGTACACACGAGTGTTGTTGACCTGTCCACGCACCACACTGCTCTTCTCAATCACTTTCTTCAACTTCTTCAAATATGCCGTATTGTGACTTTTTCGACACGCTACACTTTGTTACACAGTTATGACTTTAAGTCAGATTATTTGAGCCGTGTTGCTCGTAGTGTGAACAGCATTAATGTATTATTATTATTATTATTATTAAGCGTTCACATTGTTGAAGTCAGCTAATTATTCAGTTTGGACATTAAAATGGTTTAGATTGCACTGAGCTGGGCTCTCTGTCTCTTTAAGTAGATGTGGATTCACTGATGCAGACTGTGGCTCGTGAGAGCGTCTGGAGACACAAGAACATGGAAACACCGTTACCGTTTAACTTGGACTCATACTTTAAGAACACTGCTTGTAGGTAACGGGGTGAGTGATCATTTCACAAAGCTGGCACATCACATGCAGGAAACTGAGTTGAGCTTCATCAAGGCTCTTTCCTTGTGGAGTGGAACAGTGAACCCTTACCTGTTGTGACTGAGCTCTGGTGAGGGGCGGTCCTCTTACGTAGCGAGCGTGCACAGGTCTAGACTTCACCTTCTCTTCATCATCCAGCTTTGTGGCCACAGCCTTGGCTCTGGAGGATGCTCTGGCTCGTCCTGCTGTCTGTGGAGACAATGGTTGGATGATTTCATCTGCATGTTTCTGTCCATCCTGCTTTCCCAACAACATTCATTGTTAACCACTCGCATTATTACGTTGTACAGATAAGATTACACTGAAATAGTTTTTTGTTTGACTGTTTCTTCTTAAATAAAACGACTACAATCACCCTCAGAATAATAACAATGTCTCCACACTAGTGGCCTTTATCTCCACTGACATTTACTCTCGGCGGTAAATGGCCACTTCTGTTTAACTCGGGATCAAACTGGCCGGCACTTTAGCGTGGAAATGAAATGACACGAGAGTGGAGAGGAAATCAGGAGCATAATTGGAGACACCCTGCGCCGCGGGAAAGTGTGTCATCAACTTCCTCAAATTGGGCCATTGAGAGGGCGCTCGCTGGGCCCGAGCGGGTCAACAAGTGAACCTGGTGAATTTGAGGGGAATCACAGTCCTCCTCCAGCTTCAGACCTGGCTGACATACTCATTGGGGGGGGCAGGTTAACCCTCCCCTTTACTGCCGTCAGGTTTCTCCACTCTGGGGGTTAAGAGACTACACAGAGGACATCTTTGTGACCCACTGAAGTTGTTGAGTGTTCACTGAAACATTCCCCACCGACTGACTGGATTTATGTCTAAAATAAAAACCTGCAATCAAATTCTTTGAGCTCCTGATACGTGTTCACACTTTCTGCTGCGGGATGAGATCTCATCTTCAGCTCCGTCTCACTCTTCTGCTCAGACTCGGGGGTGAAGTTGCACTTTGATACATGTCGGGAGAAGGAAAGAGGAAGCTGTTTCTAAGTTGTTCGGGTGTTTCCCTGTGGACGGAGGTCTCTACAGACACCCTGACCTCGTCATGTTCTCACCTTCTCCCTGGTGGGGGGGTCCCCTGCCGGCTTGCGTGGATTGAAGAAGTCAAGGCTTCCTGTGACATCACTCGCCAACAGCTGTTTGAGGTGCTGATAGTTTGGCGGATCTTTGTAGTCCAGAGTTTTCACATAACTGAGGAATGCAGCCACCTCGTCTGCAGACAGAACAGAGTCAAAAAACTGGTAAACTGCTCTAAACATGCTTTCTACTGACAGTCCTTTAGATCAGCTGGTTACATTGGTTACTTCCACAAAACAAGTCACACCCATCTGACCGTTATCTTTGACAGAAGACGGGACTGGTTCTCCTAGCAGACGGACTTCTAAATTCAATAATGAAATGAGTTCGGGCAGCGCTTGAAATGAAGAACGTCCCGTTGTCCCGGGACACGTGGATAGTGTCTGGGACAGCAGAGGAACGTGTCAATGAAGCGATGTGAGTTAACCTGCATGGTTTATGATGAATAGTTTATAATACAACTAGATAATGTAGAATGTAAAACAAAGAACTTGGTTGTTAAGTCTTAGTGCGGCACGCTTCAAAGTATAATTCTGGACAATCAGGGGACACAGAGGAAAGAAAAGTGAGATGGAGTCTTGGTTCAAAGACATGTTGAACCTGAAGGTCTCACAGGCCAGCAATGGATCTCCCACAGAGGAGATGAGGCGTGTGCACAGCTATGGATATGCATACACAACCACGATGCATCACACACTGGTCAGACGACGAGTATGACACATACTGCGGTACAACTTGTATCCACACACACACACACACACACACACACACACAGTTGATGCATCCCGGCTCTCATCTGTGGCGGGCAGCCGGGCCTCGTCAGCGGTACCAAACATACATCACACACCGAGCCCTCACACAGGTGTGACCTCTCCTTATAAAGAGGTGAGATAAAAACACGCCCAACTTTGAAAGGCGTGTCAGCGGGATGGCTGTTAAATCTGGTGCAAAGTTATTTGCTTGAGGTAACCGAGGGAGGGGTGTTTTATTCTGGTGGAACGCTTCGGCAGAATGATGATTTGATCTTCATGTGGTCTGGAGCTCATTCATCTCAGTAACCAGCCCCTCTGGACCACGTTGTGTTGGCCAATCAAACACATCCCAACCTGGATTACTATGATATGAACAAGCTCGTTCTCACGGTTGTCAAGATGGAGCATAAAGTGATTGTTGAGTGGACCCCCACCCACACGGCCCCTCTGTTTGGGCTGAACTGGTGTCATGTGTGAATGGGAGCAGGGGTCCATATTCAGGGACGTCTCACCTCAGGACCTCGCAACAGTTCAGGGAAACACAGCCGTGTGGAGAGCAGTGACCAGCATGCAAAGGCTTCCGTCCGGCTGACTAAAGACTCCATCACGTGGAGCGAGTGAACCAATCACAAGACTCCGCTGATGATGTATTTGAATATAATAGTGCTATAACAGATCATGAAAGAATTCATGTTAATCAATCAGTCCAGAGTTCAGTTTCATCAACAGCAGAAGAACTTCACCTTCTACAATCATTTGACCCTTCGGTGAGGATGATTGTATTTGTGTTGTTGTCCCTTGACTGACTCTCAGATGGTAGAGCATTCCAAAAGAAGAGTTTGTAGAACATGTGAAATCTATTTTTTTCATTCTTCTTATATCTGGAGAACGTACCTACATACAGGAATAATGAACAGCTGCTACCCATAAGCCCCGTGCATGTCACCCACTAACTGAATCAGTCTTGCTCTGCCCTTTACTATGGATCTCACTTAAAAGAGCAGAAGATTAGACTCAGAGATTCTCTCCTCCTCCACGGCTCCTCGTCGTATTTCCAAATTCACAGTTTAGCGTAAGAAGTGTAAATGAGGTCCCGGGGCCCGGCTCACCTGTGCTGGCTCCTCTCACTGACAGATGCTGGACTGAGTCTGGCAGATTATCCATCAGCCTGAGAAGAGCAAGAGGTCGTCAGGGGTGGGAAGAACAAGCTGAATCCAGGTCAAAGCAAACACTGTCCTACAGGGTGTTCATTCAAATAATAACAGCCAGTCCATTCATGTGTTGGAGTTATTAGCATTAGAGTATTGTAACAACGTTCATTGCAATACAAAATTACAAAGAACTCCTGCAACTGGCTACCACCAGGCCTTGGGCATCAACTTCTATATAGTTCTTCTATCGGGGGTCCGTTACAGTCACTACCTACCTGTCCTTGGCCTCCTGGACCTGAGTTGGGTTCTTCAGAATTTGATCCCAAGGCAGAGACCCACATAACCAGTGAAGAAGACAAAAACCCAAAATCTGGAGGTCGCCACGTCTAGATGGAGCTATAAAGAGACAAAAGGATACGATGGTCAGAAAATAATATCTAGTCTGCGACCAGTGATGTTCTGTTCTCTGACGCCATCAAAGATTGTAGAAGCTTTCAAATGTGTTGGTCAAAGCTCAGCATTTAGTTTTTTTGAGATGAAAAGAATAGTTCCACAGAGACGGGAGGAAAATAAAAAGCAGCAGTACTCGTATCACAAAGAGTCACTAGTTGGTCTTTACAGCAGATCTTTCTCCAGAGGAAGGTTGGACTAAAGTTACGTTTGCAGAACTGGTAAGATGAAGCAGATTTCTGTTTAAAATAAATGATGAACCGTGCAGTCAAGGATTCACCTTGTTTGGCCAAACAAGATGGACTCTGATAGGCTTAGAGAAGACCGTGTGTTTGTATGGATTCAGCTGAGACACCATGACAGTGAGATGTAGCGGGATGATTATGATGAGCACACCTCGCTAAGACAGAAAGCACCCTGGAGCACTCTAACGGACCCCGTCAGCTATTTCTTCGTACAGCGGATTGTTTTGTGAAACCAGATGGCCTTGCAAGATCCAAACAAAAAAATAAATATTTCTCTCTTGCCATTATAGACACTGACTGGTTATAAAACATAGTAATGATGAGCATGTCACAGAAATCCACAATAGTATACTTCTGACCCCTTTCTTTCTTGTGATACACACCGACAGTCTGCTCTCACGGTCACTACCAGAAACCATTTCAATGTTTAAATGTGAGAGATACAGATTGACTTCTATCAATAAGCAGGACTTCAGCCATGCTGTAGCCGGTCTGTGGACACTTTAGCTTTGGTCGTTAATAAGCACACTAGATTTTGGCCGGATGATAGTGAAGTCACCACATTTCTCACAGTTCATCTTGGATGTTTGCACCACATTTCATGACAATCCATCAAATAGCTGCGAGACATTTCAATTTTTAGTCGCGATTAATCGCATTGTTATGGCAAAATTCAATAATGAATTCAAAAGTAGTGTATTGTGCACTTTTATTTTAAAGTACTGCTATATGAACAACAGGTCAATAACATTTGGTTTAAACACTTTAAACACATCAGGTTCTTGTTAACAGCAGTATTCCCTTTACACAGTAGCAGTTATAACACAGTTATAATGATTCTGATCATAGATATTCAGCCGGTGTTCACAACTTTATCTTCATGTGTGTAAGAGATGCAATTTAAATATACACCTTGAAAACTGTAAACCTATCTACGTCATGTTTTTTACCTTTTTTTATGTTTGTTAAATTCTCAGTAGCGATAACTAAATGATATGCTTATTATACATATTACAAACAAAACACTTTAAAAACAATAAAAACAATTTAAATGAATCATTTATTTTTTGCTATTTGTTTGCATAGAGGGTGCAAAGAAGCTGTACATGGAGGGACTTAGGACCCAGGGGAATGTAGGTGAAGGAGACGGAAGAGACGCCACACAAACAGCTGTTCACCGCTTGTCACGATCCTGTAACGAGACGATCACGCGTGCACGCGCGCGTGTGTGTGTGTGTGTGTGTGTGTGTGTGTGTGTGTGTGTGAGAGAGACAGGAGGGACCGACGGTGACGGAGTGAAGGGGTTCCGGACCGGCGTGTCACCCGGGGGGGCGGCAGCAAACACAGCGACACAAACACAGCTGTTATAATAACCCTAAATAATTTCAGGGATTTGATCAGGAGGGCAGGTATAACAGAATGTAATATTAGGGAAGTAATGAAGACAGTGTGATGTCCCCTGTACTGAGACTTCTGAAGGAACAGGTCTAGAGTGTGTCTGTGTCTTATTATGAGCGTGTGATTGCAGGGGTCTACATTAATGCGTGCGGTCTATCAATACTTGTCGACCAAGTCCATCCAGAGGGGTCGAGCCCGGGGACTTTTAGCAGCTCAATACTGTAACGGCTGCCACACGTCTCCGGAGAAATTACCTATCGACTGGCTCCATCAGAGGGGAGAAATGTCCTCCCTGAGCCACGGCCGGCATTGATCCTCCACAGCCAATAGGCTGCTCTAAAGAACAAGCATGGTCACTGCCACAGACACAACCACATTACATGGAATGAGTGGGAGGTAATCTGATTACACAGTAAGAAATGTGTATTATAAGTCATTCAAATTTCTTAGATTTGTTTATCCTGGTCTTCAGCATGGGGACAGACTATCAAAACACAGGGAGGAAATCACTTCAAGGAAATAAATGATGCAAGGTGTGCCTGAATAAAAACCTACACCGGGGTTTAGCAGGGAACACTAAACTGCTCGGACCCAGCGGGGGGGCTCGACAATCAATGAGCAAGATGAGAAGAGCAGAGGATGGGCCTTTGAGAGGAGCCATGTTGGCTGCCATCACAAACCTCACAGCGACTCAACGGTGAGGGTATAAAACCATGTGGGGCTTCAAAGAGATTCATTTTTCATTAATATGGGTTAGTGATGTGTCATTTCTACTTGTAGAGGTAGAATACAACACAAGTCACTGTATCGTCAACTGTTGCTGTGTTAATGTGAACTCTTAACACAACACTGATAAAGACCGTGAGTTGTTTCTTTCATAAACATTCAACGGGCAGATAAAGGTGAACTCTGCTTTAGTTGATTACAATACGTTTCAGTCTGGCAGACACTTCTGTCCACTTCCTTATTGACATTTAGGACCTAATGCCAAAATCAGACTAAATCATTCCAACCAACAGTCTCTGTTCAAAATGATTTTAGACTTTAGACTGAACACTTTTTGGTTGTATCCCATGTAGTGTGCAACAGAAGACTTCAACGAAGTTTCATTAACTGACCAATAAGTCAACGCAAAACAGGGAAAACCATGGAAGTATTTCACTGAGCCTGTAACCATTTGAAGGTCATCTTCAGGCCAGCAGCATCACACCAGGAAGACTCTGCCACCCTGTACACATGAACACTACTGGTGTCAAACAGAATGCTCCCTCACCGCCAAGTGAATGGTGACTCTTGTCCTATCACGCCAGGTGTCAACGGTCAACTGTACGCTCCAAGATCGGACCTTTCTCTCATCGGGATCCGATCAGCCAGACCACATGCTGAAGCGGCCTGGCTCGCATTGAGTTTGGATCTCAGTGAGTTGTGGACAGCATGAAGACACAATACAATCTATCAAACATAGGTCTCCACCCCCCCCCACCCCCTCACACGGGAGAGCAAAACAACTATTGGATCCTCGTTCAAAGCAAGCACAGCACAGAAATGTCAGCGGTAGAACTAGACTTTCTGACCTGATAGGGATGCACACATAGAGGTAAGAACAGCACCAAGTGTCATCTGTTAGGTCCAAATACGACACTTCCACCATCTGTTGCACTGCACCTCAGCAGCTCTGATGATAACAGTCTGTTGGCCCTTGTGGGTGTAAAGCACGTATGAAGTCAGCGTTACAGTGCGACTTCCTATTGTAAAAGATTGCACAGTACTCCTTCGCTGCTCAGAGCGTGTTATAGGAGAATAAAGATGAAAAATACATGTGATACTGACGGCGGGGGGGGGGGAATCCCAGAGCGCCGTAATAGATTAACAATTAAAAAGATCAACGGCTACATTAAGCGGTGCTGCCCTGTGTGTGCGCTCTGGGCTGTTATCAAAGCTCAGAAAAGTGTTCTGTGCGTCTGCTCTTCTGTATTTAATGCCCTCGTATGAGGAATGACACAGGACAGCAGAGATGTGCATTCACATGCACACTGAACCAGCCCTCCAAGGATGCTTGAAAAACTCACACATGCACGACAGATAAACACGCTCTGCTCACGCTGTAGACAGGAAGGTGAGGCGCGCTGGTGTTGTTAATTATCTCCTATTGTTATTCAGTGTCACACTCTTAACCCTTCTGCTTCGCAGTCTTGTCGTTTGGAGGCGGTCTTCTGTCCGCTGGACGCCCACCGAATGGTGCTAATTACACCGTTTAGCCGGAGGTTCAGAGGCCTGCGCTAGCCCAACCTCACTATGGCAACCTGTCAACATCTTTGCTGGATCGCTGGCACCGGGTCGGAGAGGAGCAGATGAGGAGTCTGGTCATAATCTCCATGCACGCGTATGACAATATCCAGAAAGATACATATTTGAACCCTTTTCTTCTTTCTCACACTGAGTTCACTCAGTCAGGCTTGCAGCACTCTTGTAGCTCAAATCAAACACTTTCTATGACACCTGTGTCTATAATGCATAATAGATATTCTTACGATGTGTTATAACCTGCTTATAGCACTGCATAATTATAGCTAGAACAATCTTCACACATGAATCCTTTTATAATGACTTTAAATATTATAATACTCCATAATTGCTGGTCATTCAGTGACATTTAATTGTTTATGCAAGTATTATGGTGTATTATAATCTATTATAATATAATAAACGATCATAATGTTTTTATAATGCATTACAATGTGATTATAAGCTAGGTGGTCATTATTTGCTTTAAATAAATAAATCTCTTTTACCAAAGGTTGTAAAATAATGTTTTACTTCACGCAAACAACGACCACTTAAGAGTGACTTATGATCACGCTGTAATGCATTTTGAAAAATATTAGAATGTATTACATTTATGGGAATTATGATACACTCTGATGCAGTCAGTGAGCGACCAGCAATTATGAAGCATTATGATACTTGAACTTACAAGTCCTTACAAGATGCGTTTTTTAATGCATTATGAATATTTAGAAGTGCTTATGACTATAACTATGGCAGAGTACAATGCATTCTTAGTATGTTTATATAACATGACAGACACACTGATGAATCCTGACTTGTACGCTGTGTTCTTCCATGTAGAGTAGCAGAAACATGCACTCTCTCCCACTCTTTCAAAATCATATTCAAATTGACATGACTTCCATTTGATAGTTGCTGCTGACTGGACATTTTCTGCCCGTCTTTTACTCATCGATCCGCACTGATAGAAACACCACCGCGGCGATTAGGCAGTCTGAGCCGAAGCTAACTCACAATATCGAACCGGAGGGTACGGCGGAGAGCTCGTGGAGGTTATCTGTGGCTCAAGTCTCCCTTTCCACCAGACATCAGAGCCTTTAATTAATGGGTGGATGAATACACGATGCAGGTTATGACTCTGGCTAATTAGGGAATTGTTAAACAGAGATGGTGCCGGGGAATTCAGCAGGGGGGCTGCGGACGGACAATCGATTGGTCAATGAAGAGAGGGAGCATGTAGGCAATTTGCCAGTTAATGTGTTCCCAATATCAGCCGAGGGCGGCGGGTCGGAGAGACCAGACTGCTTCACATGTATTGACTAACACAGACTGCAAAGGACAGAGTGGTCCGGATCCGGACCCAGACGCTTTCCTATCCGGACCCGGCCGTATAACTGATGGATAATTGAGAATTATACATTTTGGCGGAGCGCTTCTATTTGAACCTGCACAGCTTTTCTAGCCTTTACGGCACTCTGTCAGCAGTCCAGGAAATACACCGACTAATTACATGCATTGTAAATCATCGCACGTGATGCTACTCAGCAATTTGAATATCTGTATTCTGAAACGCATCGTGAGCCGAGTGAGATTTGCACACAGACAGGAGAGACGGGGAGATAGAGAGCAGAGGGAGAAGTCAGTCAGAGAAGCAGTTTCCATGAACACAGTGACCACGAACACAGAGCTTTAACAGAGAATGGACGGTCTCCTATTTGTTCATTCTTCCTGCTGGCGCTAATAAACCACTCTGTCTCATATGTTCAGATATCGTGGCCATTATTGAAAGCACCGATGTGAAACACCACAACCAGACCAAACATACACCTTCAGAACAAACATACCCACTCCAGTCTGAACTGAGGGCAAGATGTTGGGATGTGTAGAGATTGTTTATTATAAAGTTGACTGAGACAGTTAGGATATCGGTAGTGCCCATGTGCAACTCTCAACAGAGATGAGAAAGAAGCGAGACGGATCGATGATGGAAGAAGCCAACGTGCACATAGAGTGTAACTTTAGCCAAAGCTAGCAAAATGGCAGCAATTTTGAAAATATTTTACACTGGAAGATCCGTCATCCTAGATGATAAAAGACAGTTCTTTGGCATTCATTCTCTGTATGCATTTGTTCATGTTTTACAAAGGGTTTAACCTGAACCATTATATCACATCCATACAGGGTTAGTAGTCTACGGCGGTTTCAAAAAATAAAATAATTAATAATTATATATTTATTTATTTATTCACCTTTTACACTGGTATTGGATCGGTACTCGGTATCAGCCCATGCACAAGTTCAGGTTTCGAATCGGTATCAGGAAAGAGGAAATGGTAAGAAAACATCAAGAAGTACTTGAGCCTTCCACTTTGCACTCATTGTATTCGTACTAGTTTGATGCACTTATTGTATTCATACTAGTTT